ACCTGCGCTCAGCCGCACCGGGGCCCTCGGAGGGACTATGCGGAACCCGCTTGTTAAACTCGCACCCCTCCGGGGCTGGGCGGCCCTGGGGGACTTCACACCCTGGATTTCCGGCCCGGGCAGCGAAGGCCGAGCCAGCTCCCAGGCGCCAGAGGAAGCTCCTGGGGTGGCCACTGCCTGCCACAGCGACAGAGGAACTTGGAGGTGGGACAGGGTGTACCGGTGGGGGGCACCTACGATCTGCTTCAGGTCTGATGAGCACCCCCTGAATGGAACATGGAAAAGCAAATGTGTCCCTAAAGATAGACAAGCCATTCTGTGAGAACTTGACCAAATCTCATCTTCTCCCTGGGCCTCTGCTGCCCCTCATCCAGGCAGTGTCTCTACTGAAGGGGATGGAGGGTAGGCCAGGCCCCCTCACTAGCTCTCCCTCTGCCCTCAGCACCCCCGAGGTTGTTTATCTGAGGGGAGGCTTCCCGCTTGGCATGAACTTGGAAACTTCTGAAAAAGGTGTTTGCTCTCTATAGGTCACGGGCACAGATGGTCAATTACCTGTCTAGATCTCTTCCTGAACACAGACACACTCGGCCCTCCCTTTACCCACCACCCACACGCCCTCAGGCAGCGAGTCGCCAGGCACTGCCATGGCCAGGCAGGTACGTGCCTGGGTGACTGTGGTGTGGCCAACTGGGGCGCTCACTTCCCCTCTGATGATCCAGGCTAAGGGTCACCTCCGAGTAGCCAGAAATCCAGTCTCCCGTTAACTCTTCAGAACCGTTAATACTGGCAATTAGTTAATTTTTTTTTAACTCCTCATTCCCCTCCCCCAGCCCCTGGCACCCACCAATCAGCTTCATGCCTCTGTGAATTTGATACTCTAGGGACCTCCTATAAGTGGAATCACACAGTGTTCATCTTCTCATGACTGCCTTATGTCACTTAGTATAATGTCCTCAAGGTTGATCCACGCCGTAGCATGTGCCAGAACTTCCTTCCCGTTTAAGGCTAACAGTCCATTGTATGGATGGGTCGTGTTTTGTTTACCCATCGCCTGTTGGACACATGGGTTGCTTCTTTTTGGCTGTTGTGAATGATGCTGCACAGGTGTCTCTTCAAGAGCCTTTTTTCAGTTTTGGGGGGTTTATACCAAGGAGTGGAATTGCTGAGCCATATAAAAATTCCACGTATATAACGTTCTGAGGAACCGCCATACTGTCTTCCACAGCAGCTGCACCATTTTACGTTCCCACCAACAGGGCACAAAGGTTCGTCAGCCACACTTGTCGTTTCCTGTTTGTTTTTGCGAGTGGGACCTCGGCGGGTGCCGACTTGCGTTTCCCTCGATCGGTGACAGTGTGCATCTTTTCACGTGCTTAGTGGCCATCTGTCTATCTTCTTTGGAGAAATGTCTATTAAGGTACTTTGTCCATTTTTGATTGGACTATTTCATTTTTGGTTGTTGAGTTTTAGGAGTGCTCTATGTACACTATTCTGGATATTACTCTCATCGGATATTACAATTTGCAAATATTTTCTCCTGTTCCACAGATGGCCTTTCGCTTTGTTGACTGTGTCCTTTGAGGCTCAGAAGTTTTTAATTTTGAGGTACTCCCGTTTACCTATTTTTACTTTTGTTGGCTGTGCTAATTTCATTTAAAACAAAAGCCACTGGGCCAGAACATCCTGGGGATACTTTGGGATTGTGGGGGCAGCTGGTGTGAGACCCAGGGTCTAGCCACGTGCTGGCTCACTCGGGGACCCCAGCTCTTCTACTTTCTCTGTCTCTGCAGCTGCTCTGCACAGCCACATTTGCACCCCCACCCCCACCCCGCCGCCCCAAGACGCACACCATCTGAGACGACCATGAAGGAGGTGTCATTGTCTCCATTTCACAGAGGAGGAAACTCAGGTCCACCAACATCATCCTGCAAGCATTGTACACCAGGCCTGGTGCCCCGGTGTGTGACCCCAGAGGGTCACAGCTGATTCAGGGTCTAGGAGCAAGTGCGTTTCAGCCTGTCCGGCTGGAAAATCCACGCTGTTGGCTGCATGGGGCCTGGCACAAAGGAGCAGGTGCCCATGAATGTTTACTGCGCAAATTAATGCCTGAAGGATAAAGGGGTACTTTCTTTGGAGTTGGAAAGTTGGCCCAGATGCCAGCTCTGGGTGGCAGTAGCAGTGAGCTGGGTGCCCACCCGCCCTCGTACACAGAAACGTGCATGCTCATGGCCAGAGTGTGGGATGGGGGGAGCGGTATTTACAGCCAGATCTGAGGAGTGGCTTTGGGGCTAAAAATAGACCAGGGGAAACACAGGGCTGGGTTCCCCCTGGACTGGAAGCCAATGTCCTCACTCCTGGGCAGGAGGCAGACAGACCCAGGGCAGGCGTTCTCTGAGGCGGGCCTGGGGCACTCCCCTTGCAAACCTCCACTTCCTTATCCCTCCCGCTACCGAGGGGGACAGGAGGGCAGGATGCAGAATCAGAAAGCAGTGTCTGCCCACAGGTTTCGCAAGGCCTCCACGGCAGGGGGCAAACCCTTTCATGGCTCTGCAGCTTCTGACAAGAGAGGAAAGACGAGGTGGCTGCCAGGGGCTGTGTCGTCCTGGCCACTGCATGTGTCAGGAGAGAGAGCCCAGCCCAGCTCCTGCGCAGCCTTAACTAATAGCAGGGCCAGCCCGGGTCAGCTCGGTGACCCAGGTTTCAAGCCCGGCCACGTTTCCCTGTGACGATAATGACCCCACAGCGGCCATGCCCAGATGGAGAGTAATGGCGGCTCCTCGCTCCCAAAAAGCAGTGACCCCTCGCCCAAAGCATCGCAGCTGGAAGGGACTTGGGGTGTCACCTAAGCCACCCTCTGCCTCCCCAGGGTTCCAAACCAGGAAGCGTCACCACTATTTCCCAGAGCCCAGGCTCCTCTGGAGGCTTTGCCCGCTCAGAACCCACCGCCTTTCCCTAATAACAGTACTTTAAGTTCATCTTGTGAACAAAATCTACTCCCCCTCCCTCACATCCAGTCAATGCGACTCAGGTATCAAGTAACTCCCCCAGCTCCAGAATGAACATGTGGACCCAGAATTAGCCACTGAAAGCATCTCGCACCCGTGGCCACCATGACTGGGTCGGGGCCAGGCATGCAACTCAATGGGAGCCAGTGAAATTCGGATCTGGAACATCTGTTGACATTCTGAACTGGGGGACTGGCTAACAGGATGGGACAGAGGTTAAACTGTCCGTGGTCATCTTGCTGCTGACAAGGGCAGAGCCCACCTGGTAATAACGGCACTCAGAGGAAACCGCTCCGAGAACTGCTAGTCCTGTGGACTCCGCGCCTCTGGATCCAGCCTCGCCGGGAGTCAGAGCCCGGGCTGCATGTCCCTTCCATGAGCCAGTATGTTCCTCCTTTTGGCTAATGGCAGCTTGTGTGGGGATCCTGTCACTTACACCCCACAGAGTCCTGAATGACTACAAGTCACTCATAGTTTCCTCCCCACCCAATTCTAACAACCCCTAAACCACAGCCGGAGGAAGAGGTGGCCTTTTGTCAGGATGTCAGAGAGGAAGAGGGGAGGAAAGAAACAAGGAGGCCGAAGAGAGGGTACCAAGGCCCAGGGCAAAAGGGAGGCAGCGGCCATCGCGGGAACCCAGACCAGGCCACGCCCCGAGGCTTTCGTGGACACTGCCGCCCATTTCCTTCACTGAACACGTCACACCTTCCCATTATCTTGTAACTGTCAGGGGTCGGCCTCCCTCGTCAGACTGTCGCAGCCATGAGTCTGAGAGGTGCCACCGCTGCTCTCTACCGTGCTCTCGCATCTCATTGTAGATGCACACAGTAGGTGCTCAGCATTGTAGATGCACGCAGTAGGTGCTCAGTGTGTAGACTCAGGCACGGAGAAAGGGAGGAGAGGGATGTGGGAGGAGGGCTGAGGGGAGACACAGGCATACGGAGAGCAAGGGTGACGAACGGGCGGTGACAAGGCCGTGGGCAGAGCCCCTGCAGGGCCCTCGGGTCGGGGCGAGCTCATTCCTGTAGCAGTGGGGGGAGGCTTTTGTGTGCCCACCTGCCCAGCTCCTGGACGCACTGGCTGAGGTGGGAAGTGGCCTGGGTAGCCCCAGGCCCACCCCAGAGCTCGGACCACGGAGGGCAGGAAGCAGGACAGGACTCTGCTGGAGCTGAGGGTCTGCCCTGCCTGCTGCCCTCCCCGGGGGAGCAGTGCCCAGGCTGAGTGCAGGGGAACCCCACTGCCCCTGCTCTGTCACCTCCCCCCACTCGCTTGGCAGCTCTGGGACACCCCTCCAGTTCTCTATGAAGCACCAGAAAGCCTCGTTCCCACCCACCCCCTCCTGAGGGGCAGGCCCTGCTCCAGGAGAGGGGAGGAGCAGCCGGGGCCAGGCACAGGATGACCGTTCCTGAGCCCGAGGGCGCGGCCAGTGGCAGGAGGCCAGGCAGGTGCTCACCTCGCGGGTGACCTTGCCATTGTCAAAGTCGTACAGGGTGAAGGTCCACTCCTGCCGGCTGTCCTCCTCCACAGACACGTCACACTGTAGCTCCTAGACACAGACAGATGACACACGGATGTGACGGGAACATGCGGAGGCCTGGTCACGGGGCTGCCGCCTCCCCACTGCCCTCCCCAGACCCCGTGCAAAGGCAGAGCAATGACCAAGGCATGGCGGGCCAGAAAGGCCAGGCCAGGAAGGGGACATTTGGCCCAAGGGAGGTGCCTGCAGGGGTGCGGGGCAGTTTCTGGGTCCCCAAAGCACAGGAGAAAGGTCTGAGAGGGGGCTTTGTATCTGGACGCAAGGCACAGTAATGTTGGGGCTCCTGGGGTGGCCACCTGACCTGGAAGGCAGAAGAGGGTGACCACAAAGAACTAAAGTTCCAGTCAGCCTCAGGTGCCACCTCATGTGTGGCCAGCCCTCCACAGCTGCATGTCCACCGCCCTGGGCATGCCGTCTCTGTGCCTCAGTTTCCCCTCGTGTCAATTAAGGAAAATGACAGTATCGTCCTTACGAAATCATTGGGAACATTAAGTGGCCTGCCCCTTGTCTGCTGGGTGTTCTCCGGCAGCTGTGGGGATAGTTCCCCACCTCCCACCTCGAGCACCTGGCTTCTGTGTCCCAGGGACAGACGGCATGCCAGGGTGGGGGGCCCGAGCTGTGGTGAGCCTCTATGCCCCTCCAGGAGGCAAATCTGGGGGCACCATGTACACCTCTGGGAGGGACCCCGCCTGCCCTGGCTGTGACCCGCCCGTTAACCCTTTACTGGCTTCCCTCCATCCCCGCTCCCAGGGATCACCCCAGGCCCCGTCTCAGGCTTTGCTCTAGGAGAACTAGAAATTATGTGGCAACTGCTTGGCACACAGAAAACTCCAGCTAATGGTAGTGGCTGCTGTTGTCTCTGCTGTAGTGACTAATACAGCGGGACATGTGCGGGGCTCAGCCGAACCCCAGTGTTCTAAAAAGGATGGCCATTTGGGGAAAGAGATTCCACAAACAGCCTTCAAGATCCACAAGATTCTATGAAGATAAGCAGTGATGCTCCCAGACCACCCCGTTCCATGCCCTGCCTCGGCCCACTAGTCCCACAATGTCCAGCTGGCACGGCATGAGGACCGGCTCGGCCCCCCGAGAGGGGTGCTGCCTGGCCTCAGGATGCTGGCAGGAAAGTGACTGAGCACAGTGTCCCTGCCCTTGGCATCTGCGGCTCAAGGCCAGTTCCCTCCAGCAGTTCTTGGGCAGCCCACAGTGAGGTCAGAGTTAGCCCTTCCTCAGTTGTGACGTGTCCGCCTGGTCCCTGCCCAGTGCCCTCTCTGCTCTCTGAGGCATGGGTTCAGGAGGCACAGCACTGGCCGCACACACATGCCCACCCGCACACACACACACACACGTGGGCACGTGCACACATGCCCACACACACATGCACATGTGGGCACGCACACACATGCCCACACACACGCACACGCACACGTGGGCACGCACGCACATGCCCACACACACACGCACACGTGCGCACGCACGCACATGCCCACACACACACGCACACGTGCGCACGCACGCACATGCCCACACACACACGCACACGTGCGCACGCACGCACATGCCCACACACACACGCACACGTGCGCACGCACGCACATGCCCACACACACACGCACACGTGCGCACGCACGCACATGCCCACACACACACGCACACGTGCGCACGCACGCACATGCCCACACACACACGCACACGTGCGCACGCACGCACATGCCCACACACACACGCACACGTGCGCACGCACGCACATGCCCACACACACACGCACACGTGCGCACGCACGCACATGCCCACACACACACGCACACGTGCGCACGCACGCACATGCCCACACACACACGCACACGTGCGCACGCACGCACATGCCCACACACACACACGCACACGGGGGCACGCACACACATGCCCCCACACGCACGCACACGTGGGCACGCACACACATGCCCCCCCACACGTACACGTGGGCACGCACACACATGCCCACACAGCGTTTACCTGATTCGCTCTCCCTGCCTCCCCCCACTCGTCTCCAAAGACAGCTGGGATTCCAAGCTCGGAAACACCTGGCGAGTAGCATCCCCATCCCCACCTCTGCCGTGTGCGTCTCCCCCTCACCACCTGCACTTCTCAGGTGAGGGCTCCCCATGGACCTGGATGAGTCCCAAGCAGTCGGCCGGCCCCTTCCCAGAAACAGACTCTTTGGGGCTTTCAAGGAAGCAAGACGTTAGCCTGGCCATCCCTCTGCGGGCCCCGCAGGGGTGCCGAGCCTCCATAGGGGGGGCCTAGGCTTCTGCCCTGAAAAGCACCACCGAGAAAAGAACCGTCTCCCCGGCCCAGGACGCTCACCTCGAATTTCAGCGGCTTCCGAGAGCCTGGGCAGGATTCGCTCGGCTTCTCCGTCCTCTTCTCGTCTCCACTGGCCAGCCCGTCGGTCTTCTCAGGAGGCAGGGCCACTGCAGGGGGAGGCAAGCGAGAGGCCGGGTTTTGGGGCCTCCTCAGTCTCCGTGCCTTTGTTCTGGGGGCCCCTTCCCGCCTTGCCCGTTTGCTGGAGTCAAAATCGCTTTGCTCTCTGGCCTCTGGTTGTGTCCGGGGCCACCTCAGCGGAGACCCCCTCCAGGGTGCGTCTACAACGGCCACTCGGGTGACCCAGTGGGTGTCTCAGGCCACCATTCTCTGCCCAGACTTCACAGCCCAGATAAGGAGCCTGCGGCCACCCATAGCATTGTCCAGCCAACGGGCAGGTGGGAGGGGGCAGAGGGGTGCTTCTGGAGCCCGGAGAGGAAGCTCCCAGATCACGGCCACAGCCTCTCTGCCTTTCATGCTGACATTTTGGCTTCCTCCAAGATGCCACCTGCCTGGGCCCAGGATATGACACGCTAGTAGATGATCCGGAGGAGTGACAGAAATGGAGCTCAGCGGGGCTGGTGAAGGGCACGCGCACGCATCGCCGCACCTGCGTGAACGCACGCGCACGCATCGGCGCAACAACGTGAACGCACGCGCACCCATCGGTGCACCTGCGTGAACGCACGCGCATGCCGTGACATTCAGAAACCAGTCAATCCTGGGCATTTCCTTCGGCCTCTGCTGGCCCAGGGAGGGTCTTCTCCCTCTGCCCAAGGTGGGAGGGGGGGTTGTCCGGGTCAGGTCACCGACACTGACCACTTTTGATAAAGTGGATAAAACCAAGTCCTCCATGGCCAGGAGGTGTCCCACTCCAGTGTCATGCTGAGCCCAGTGAAGTCAGGTGGCGATTAGCCAGAGACCCGAGGGCAGCGGGCACACAGCCTGGGCCACCTGATTCTTCTAACCCAAATCTACTGTTGGGCCAGAGCTGTCACCGTCCTAGAACCAGGCAGGGTGCAATGCACAGCCACTCCACCAGGTCGCAAAGCAGCAGGCGCTACTGTCGCCCCATTAAAAAGAAGGCAAGACGGCCCAGAGCCTTGTCTGAGAGGGTCGGGAGGCGGCTCCTGCTGGATCCCAGCACAGAGTGAAGCCCCGAGCTCCAGAAGCCCCGGCATCTCCAGCAGGAGCTGGGCTCAGCAGGAGCATCCTGATTAAGGGGGCACATCCTGAGTCTCCCACTGCCCTGGGCAGCCTTGGGCAAGGCACGTGACTCCTCATCTATAACGGGGGACGAAGTGGTCTCTCTCTCACAGGGCTCCTGAGGAGGGGCAATGTGAAAAGTGCCTGCTGAGCACAGTGGCCTGTATGCAGTAAGTGCTCAATAAATGCTGGCTCTGCAAAAGATGTAGATGGGCCGTGGTCCCAGCTGACAGCCCAGATCCAGACGTTCTCCTCACCCTAAAACCGCCCCACCGGAGACACCCTAGTGCTATCACGACCTGCAATATCCGCTCTTCATCCCCCCCCCACCCCCCACCACCCCGGAGGGCGGGGCTGGGGGAGCAGAGAAGAAGAAGAAGAAGAAGAAAGAAAAACAAAGGCCAGCTCCATCTTCAAAGCTGCTGCCTCCCTCCGCAGAGGTCCTGGCTAGAGATGTAAGCCGCCCGGGCTTATCGAAACCAAACTTCAAGTTCAAAGGGAAGTTATCAGAAAACCACCTTTAGGTTCAATGTTGCCTTTCAAGTTCCACTTGATAAAACCCAAAGAAAAGAAACCTCTGTCCGAGCTCTCTCCTTCTCTGGAGCAACCCCCCACCCCAACCCCTGCTCACAGACAGCCCGTCCTCCCTCACATCCTACTCTGCCACCTTCGCTTTCTCCTCTCCCAGGGAGGAAGAAAATATGCCCCCGACCCCTCACCCTCTTCATGTGTCTTCTCCAAGACCAAGGTGGCCTGGATTGTCCTTCCTTCACCAGCAGGCCCCTCATCCCATCGCAGCTGAGATCACCCCCACACACCGCTGGGGGTCCCTTCCGGCATCGGGCTGGGCACAGACAGGTGTAGGACTGGGAGCCGGCCTGCCCTGCGGCCGCGGGGGCCAGGAACAAGACAGCCAGCATCCCCCTCGTCCCACCAAAGGTGGCCTTTCACCCTCTCACCATCCCCAGTGGCCAGAAGAGGTGTCAGAACTGATTAGAAAGCCTCACAGACTCCAACTGCCAGAGGCAGGAGCTGGGACTCAGGGAGGCCACTCTATACCACATATGAACCCCCCCAAAATCGACACCAGACTGGCACCTGTCCCCAGCTGTCCCTGGGCAGCGCAAATTGTCCTCCATCCATGCATTGTCGGGCTCACAGCGGGTGGGACCCCCACAGGCTGCTGGGGTCCGACCTCAGCCAAGAGAATGATCCCGTTGTCGAGATGGGCTTCGGCACCAGGTTCTGAGCCCTCCGTTTCTGATTTCTGTTCAGCCCAGCAATTTGTTTTCCCAGAGATGATCTTTTGGGGGGCATAATTTCAGGGGGACTCTGATCACTCTTCAATTGTAAGTCACGCAACAGGAAATACCGCTCATCAGAAAGAGGAAAGGTGAGCAGAGGGAAAAGGCAGGAGAAGAGGAAGAGAGAGAGAGGAGGAAAGCGAAGCCTCTCACTGGCCCCTGCAGTACCTGCGGGTGACCGTGGCAGCGCTGGCATGCTACGCCCCGTGAGCCTGTTTCTATAAATAAAGTTTTATTGGGACAGGGCCACGCTCATACGCATTGGGTAAGGCTGCTCCGCTCTACGACAGCAGAGCTGACTCATCACAACTGAGACTGTGTGGCCCGCAGAGCCTCAAACGTGGACTCCCCTGGCCTTGCCCTGCGCTGTAGCCGTGCAGCTGTCTTGGCCACCAGGGCACCCTGACAGGCAAGGTGCAGGCTGGACCTCACCTGCTGCTCACCTGCTTGACTGGTAACCCTGTGCAGTTCACGACCTGCCCAACCGTGCACGGTAGCCGTGGGAGAAAGGAAACGCCAACTCCGCTTTCTTAAAAGCAGTTCTCAGCCCAAACCAGTCTGGGGGCAGTGCGTGGAGCACCCCCGTTTTGGAAGCTGCTCCCTGCCCCGCTCACACCCGGCCACAGAGAGCCCACTGGCTGTGTTTACCAGATGAGGGCTCTCCCCGGCATCGGCTCCAGCCTGGCATCGCTCCACCCCCCAGCAACTGCCAGATTAAATGCATTACTTGACCATCTTTACCCGGGTCCCTTTGATGTTCCCTTCTCAAGCTTCAAAATACCTTTTGGAGGAAGATCAGACAGCATTAAACAGAATTACTAATTAATTAAGCAAAGTTAAATTTTAAACACTGTTTGTTGTGTTAGCCAAAAGCCTGAACAGAACAGACTTCTTTCCTCCACTGAGATCAAAGGCAGTCTCTTCCCTCTCCCCTCCCCCAATTTAAAAAACAGGAGGGGGGCGAGGAAGAGGGAGAGAAACAAGGGTGCTTCAGAGCACTGGGGAGAGTGAGGACACACCTGACTGGCAGCAACTCTGATCCTGGTCTAGACACCCATCCCCCACCCCTACCCCACACGTGGGCCCAAGGGGAGGCACCCCGGACTCATCTGGGACGGCACAGTAGGGGAGCCACAGTCACTTTCTCCATACTGTTTACCCTGGCAAAAGCAGAGACCCAGGGAACAGGATGGCACAGCCCACCCAGCACGAGCCACTGACGGCTGGCACCACCCAGGGCCCAGAGACAAGACAGGTCCGCCGGCCCGCACGCCACCCTCCGAAGCGGGATGAGCGCCCCAGGTCAGAGTCCCGCGGGGTCGCTGGGAGACTGGCCCCGCGAGGCAGGCTGCGCACTGCCCGGTCCGGGAGATGTCGTCCCCACCCTGGGCAGCACAGACTTGCGGACTGCTTCTGACGTTTTTGGACAGATGGCAGCAAGGTGTCCTGAGGAGGGGCCCCTTCTTCTAATGTGCGCACATGCATTGCTAGCTGAGTGCTGTCTGAACCATCCCTTCTAGCCCTTGACTCTGTACAGTCCCATCTGGGATCTTCCGATGGCCTCGCAGGGGCCTGCCACATCCACGCTGCCAGCACACACATTTCTCGAGAGCTGGGGTCCTGCTGTCGACTGGCCCTGGGTGGCCCCCAGTGTATGGCACATACCATACATGCACAGACGATCCACCACCGTGTGCTGAACTGCGGCCAATCGCACAGGTAAACACGAGGGAGGCTACATGACAAACACACCATAAATTCTGGCTTGCTTGAGACCGGGCACTGGCGTGGGAAAGGGGATGGTTGAGAGGGGTAGGTCTGTTCCCGAATCCCGCACTTAGGCTAAAATCCAAACCCCGAACGATCCCGGCAAATCCCTGCTTCTTTTAACGCAATCCAGAAAGGCCTGGTTGATATTAAACTCTGGACGGAGAGACAAATTTGAAACATGGTTATGACTAAATCGGCCCGACTGAAGAGCAGAAGTGACTAATATCAGGTGCGTGGCGGACACCTCTCTCGGCCCAGTTACCTGGCGAGCGCTCAGGTCACACAGCGCGAGACTTAACACAGCCAGAGCTTCTGTGCCGGCGTTTGGACACCCGCCCTCGGGTCTCCACCGTCCCTAACCGTCCACGTACAGATTATCTGCCACAAATATTTGCGTCTCGGGGTGGCCTGCCCGGGTGTTTCTGATGGCCCAGCCCCCCGACAGCAGCTGTTCAAGGGAACACAGATGAATTTTAATATTAGCCTATGCCAAATATAATTAGGCGGGTAAATCTGCTACCAGTAAAAGGAGAAAGATATCATGTGTTCATTCCAGGCCAAATGGTTTCTTGCGTTATCTGCATGAGGCTCTCCGTAGGGAGGGAGAGTCCCAGAGACACACAACTGTTTGTCATTGCACTTAGCGGTGGGCTGGACTGGGGACGCTGGGGCAGTGGGTGGGTGCACACCTTATTTCGACGCATCCTCTTAATGACACCGTGCAGGTGTGTTGCTGTTTACGTTCAGCAGAAAGGAAACTAAGCTTAAAAAGCAAACTCGATCGAGCCATTTCCCTTCTGAAAACGATCCGCCTGCTGGTGCCTCTCGGC